ATATAATTAAATATTATTACTTATTTAATTTTAAGTACAAAAGTTTAAATACATGTCATTTAGATATTGACGGGGAGAGCATAACAGTGGTATTTTAGGACCTAATGATTTCTACTCATTCTAAGAGTTATTTTAGAACTAAACATTCAATAATTTCAAATAAAAACCGTTCAAAGAGTTATTTTCTATAAATAATATATAAAATTACATAAATAATACTCTTTCGGTTGAAATGGTACGAGACTATCGTCCTTTCTTGTTCTATTTTCTTTTTATCGTCCAATCCTCTCTGAGAACGCAATCCCCTCCGAGAATGTAATCCACTCTAATGAGTTGTTAACCTATAAAAAACACTCTAACGCTAAGTCAAAGTTAGATATCTTTTTCAAATAGGTCTTTATTTTATTAGGATAGATCAAGTTTATTTTATCTGGACATCAATAGTATATTTACAGGGCTTGTGGCAGCCAAGCACATTGATTAACCAATTAACTCAGTATATTTTTAGGCAATCAAACCTAATAATCAATTATTAGTATCCTATATTTGTAAAGTGTAAAAGAATCTAACTCATTAATACATGCTAATATACTTGCTAACTTCCCATAAATGACCATTAACTTTGATCGGTATATTTATAGTACATAAGTCCCCCAAGCAAGCTCTTTATTAAAAGAGGTGCGCAGGGATTATTATGAGCTTTAAGATACGTCATTCACATTTTTACGAAGTCTATTTTTGATGCGCTTTAAGTCTTCATTCCTCTCTGCACCGAGCGACGAACTCTAGGAGTTCTCTTTGTAATCTTTTTCCCTAGGTTGAGCGGGAAACGCTATGAGTTCTCTTTAGAACTTTTTCCTAAGTTGAGCGGAAAACACTAAGAGTTCTCTTTGGAACATTTTCCTAGGTTGAGCGGGAGATGCTAGGAGCTCTCTTCGAAACTTTTTCCTACATTGAACATTAGACGCTAGGAGTTCTCTTTGGAACTTTTTCGTGTACAAGATATTTTCACTCACAAAAATATTCGTTAAACAAAATAAAGTAAAAGCTTCATTATTTTATAATTTGTTTTTATAATGAAGAGCTATTAGAACCTGACAAGGTTTCCTAGGTTGAGCAGTAGACACTAGGAGTTCTCTTTGAACTTTTTAGGCCGAGCGACGAGTGATAGGAGTTCTTTTTTTAAAACTTTTTCATATGTTGAGCGAAGACACTAGAAGTTCTATTTGAACTTTTTTCTCTAGGCCGAGCGACATAGGAGTTCCTTTTTCAGAACTTTTTCCTATGTTGAGCGAAGCCACAGGAAGTTCTATTTGAACTTTTTCTCTAGGCCGAGCAGCGACTGATTGGAGTTCTTTTTTGGAACTTTTTCCTATGTTGAGCGAAGACACTAGAAGTTCTATTTGAACTTTTTCTCTAGGCTGAGCAGCGACTTATAAAAGTTATTTTTTAGAACTTTTTCCTATGTTGAAGGAAGGCACTAAAAGTTCTCTTTGGAACTTTTTCCTCTGCAAGATATTTTCACTCACAAACATATGCATTAAACAAAATAAAGTACACGCTTCAATATTTTATAATTTATTTTTATAATGAAAATTCATTAGAACCTGACAAGGCTAAACATTAGTGGTCCAACTGACCAAGCGGTAAGGAATTGAACGTTCATTTGCAGGATATCTTTACTCACAAAAATGTGCGTTAAATAAAATATTCAATATTTTATTTTTATAATGACAAGCCATTAGAACGTGATAAGGTTGAACGTTGATGGTCAAACTAACCAAACGGGAAGGAATTGAACCTTCCTGTACAGGATATTTTTACTCAAAAATGCGCTAAATAAAATATGCTAAATAAAATATTCAATATTTTATTTTTATAATGAGAAACCATTAGAACCTCACAAGGTTGAACGTTGGTGGTCCAACTGACTAAGTGGTAAGGGATTGAACCTTCCTGTGCAGGATATTTTTACTCACAAAAATATGCGTTAAATAATATATTTAATATTTTATTTTGATAGTGAGAAGCCATTAGAACCCGCTAAGGTTGAACGTTGGTGGTCTAACTAACCAAGCGGTAAGGGATTGAACCTTTCCGTGCAGAATATTTTTACTCACAACAAAAATATGCGTTAAATAAAATAAAGGTTGAAAGTTGGTGGTCCAACTAACCAAGCGGTAAGGGATTGAACCTTTCTGTGCAAGATATTTTTACTCACAAAAATATGCGTTAAATAAAATATTCAATATTTTATTTTTATAACGAGAAACCATTAGAACCTCACAAGGTTGAACTTTGGTAGTCCAACTGACCAAGCGATAAGGGATTGAATCTTACTGTCTAGGATATTTTTACTCACAAAAATATGCGTTAAATAAAATATTCAACATTTTATTTTTATAATTTTTTTTGTGTGCATGCATTTAAATTTTTGCCTCATAAACCTCTAATAGTTTCCTTAAAGTTCTCAAAATAAAAGACATGCCTTTAGAAAATATTATCAAATTTTTTTCTCTTGTTGCAAAGCTTGATATTAATCCGAAGTAGCGATGTCGAGATCGAGCGCGTCTGGTTCCTCGTGGTTTCATGGGGATGCCGCTCGACCCCATAGTGGACGCCAAATGTTTGGGTTGAATTAGTCCGAGGGTCAGTCGTCCTTCCTTGCTCTGCTCTCTTTCGATCGTCCAATCTTCAATCCCCTCCAAGAACGCAATACACTTCGATAAGTTGTTGACCTGCAGAAGACACTCCGACGCTCAAGTTAGATATCTTTTTCAAAGACGTCTTCTTATTTTATTAGGATAGATCAAGGTTATTTTACCTGAACATCAATCAATAATATATTTATAGGGCTTGTGACACTCAAGCACATTGATTAACCATTAACTCACCATTAACGCAACGTAAAACAATCTGACCTATTAATACCTGCTAATGTACTTGTTAACTATCCATAAATGATCATTAACTCCAATCAATATATTTCTTATAATATAAATAAACAATCTGACCTATTAATACTTGCTAATGTACTTGTTAATTATCCATAAATGACCATTAACTTTAATCGATATATTTCTTATAATATAAATACATTTGTATTATTTTCTAATTTATGATGGATAGGAAATAAACTTCAATTATATTTATAGAAAGTTTTGAGTGGATAGAATGGTTTCCACTAGAGATTAATTATAAAGCAGGGCACGAATTCATATTGCAATTTGTGGAGGTAGTTAGCATTCCTAGTCAACATTGACGAGCCTTGGTGGCTCCAGTCTATGACAACCGGCAATGAGTGGATTGCTTTGCAGTCTATTTCCAAGTTAGGTCAGGTCAATGGTACCTGCACCATTCCCAAATTCAATTTTCCCCATTTCATCTTATTCTATCTAGGATCTTTATGTTACTTAGAAACAATAAGTTGATTAAATTGTATTATAAATTAATAATATAAATAAATTCACTAAGTTAATATATAAGGAAAGTAATAAAAAATACTTGATTGTAAACCGGTACAAACTACAAATATGATGAAAAAAATCATTAGATTATGAACCAAAATCATAAATATAATTAATGAAAAATTAATTACTTTTTAATTAAACAATTTCTAAAATTTTATAGAGCTAAAAAATATTTATTGATCATTAGAATTAATGTAAATAAGAATAGTATTTAGTATTTTAGATTCTTTCTTTAATATCTGATAAGGATGGATGAAGACAAAAAAATAAAAATAAATAAATACGTCATCTACATAACATTTTTATGTTTAATTTTAATATTTTTAATTTAATTCCTCATCAATTTAGAATATTTTTTATATTTTTAAAATATTGTTTATATTTTTATTTAGTTAATATTTTAAGATATATATGGCATTAGCTATAAAGTTGTTTTTAATAAATCACTTTAATAAATTGATTAATAAAATATAATGATCATATCATATTTAATTATTTATCACAATCAAAATTACTACCAGAAAAAAAATACAACACATATAATCAAAATTGCTACCAGAAAAAAAAATATAGCACATGTGTTAGTAAATTTTAAATATTTTTAATTGTATTATAAATTAATAATATATAGAAGATTAAGTTGATATATAAAAGAAAAAAAATGAAAATAATAAGAAGCACCTAAATGTTAAATACAAATGTGATGAAAACACAAAAAAGAAAAAAAAAAGAAACCCATGATAGTTTTATTAAAAATATTTCAAAATAATGATTACTTTTAAAAATTAGTTAATAATTATATTTTTCAAAAAATTAGCTAACAATTATATTTTTTATCATGTAAAAATTTAAAACATAATTTTTTATTCTAAAGATATATGGTATAATTTTATATTACATTCTAAGCTGAAGGACTAGTCCGCTGTTTTTTATTTTGTTTTTTTTTTCGAAAATCTAATGTTATGTGAAAATGGGTCCAAAGTTTTTATTTTTTACATAAAAACGGGAAAATGTTGCATTGTCGGACTGAAATGAGCTAAAAAGAGTTGTTATCCGGACTGTTTTAGATTTTAGTCTATCAGACTTTGGCCGACTTATTGGACTGTGTTACTAAAGCTGGACTATGTTAATAGAAACTGTCGCAGCATGATGTTCAACTTTTTTTTTCAATGAGGCTGTGATATTGGACTGACCCACTTGACCCGTAGGTTGACCTGCAGGATTGCCGAGTTTGACGAGAGTTGGTTCAAGTTTTCAAATTGAAAAAATTGTTCTTGATTCGTCTTTTTTATTGGACTGATGGAATGATTCTCCGGATTTAACCGTTTTTGTCATCTCATTGAAAAATGAATACCGTTTTTATCTATATTGTTTCTAATAACAAACTCAAAAAGGCTTCCGCTTAAAGTATTCGGATTACTAATTAATAGAAGGGGTTTAATTGCTTTTATTGATTGATCTGCTTTGGGAATATTATCAAATAGTTTTTTCAAACAAGAAATTGCATGAAAAATTACATGAGCTCCGAGAGTATTTACGTAGTCTAAGTATTGATAGTGAACGAATATCAATCCCGTTACCAAAATCTAGCGAGGGTACAGCTCAGTTATTGAATTCTCATTTTCTGACTCTTGAGCAGATTTGTTTGTTGTTGCCCTTGAACTGTGTCCCCATGAATACGTGGCTGGAAGGCTTCTAGTTGTACTGTGGGCATAAAATGCAGGTTCAGAAGGGATGGGAAGACTGAGAGAATAGCTACTGAGCATGAGCATAACGGTCGCCATGGTTGGTCTATTAGTTATGTTTTCTTGAACACAGAGCAAACCAATATGAATGCATCTCATCACTTCATTTACTGAATTGTTGTTCAATGATGGATCTACAATTTTTACAGCTGTTCCCTCCCTCCAGTTTCTCCATGTCTGCAAATATTTGTTATTTCAGTCACTGGTTCCACCAATGTGTTGGCTATGTAATTTTCTAATACATATTTTTTAATGAAAAATAAATAATAAGGAGAAAATAGCACTTACGAAGCTCAGTAGGTCTTCAACATTCTCCCCATGACGAAAGCTACTGTTTTTCTGGCCACTTACGATCTCAAGAAGCAGTACACCAAAACTAAAGATATCTGACTTCACCGAAAATTGTCCTTGCGTTATGTACTCCGGTGCCATGTATCCACTGCAAGCCAACATAGATAGGTTGAATTAGTCAATCTCTCCACCATCACAATTTTTCATTCAGCTTCTAATGATATTCATAACAAAGTTATAATCTTAAGAATTTAGTAACAGTACATGATTATGATTAGGTGACAGTACTTACTAGGTTCCCACAACTCTATCTGTATTTGCGTGAGTTTGATCCAGTAAAACCAGTCTTGCCATGCCAAAATCTGCTATCTTAGGATTCATCTCTTCGTCTAAGAGAATATTGCTTGCTTTGAGATCACGATGTATAATACGCAGAAGAGAATCTTCGTGAAGGTAGAGAAGCCCTCGGCTAATACCTTTTATGATTCTGTATCGCATTGCCCAATCCAACAGTGCTTTCTTGGCTGGATCTGCGTACAACCTAGAGTTTTAGTGGTATATATACATGTGTGCGTTTTGATATATGTGTGTGTGTGGGTATCATTAAGACCTACCAAATATGAAATAATCAAGGCTTTTGTTAGGAACAAACTCATAGACGAGTAGCCTTTCTCTTCCTTCCAAGCAGAAACCAAGTAGTCTGACTAAATTTCTGTGCTGAAGCTTGGCCACTAAAAGCACTTCATTCTTAAACTCTGTGTCTCCTTGGCTGGATCCACTTGACAACCTTTTGACCGCAATCATCTGTTCATTGGGGAGCCTACCCTGAAATTACAAATCTCTGTCCGGTTAATGTTTTAGCATGTTTTGATTAAAACACGATGTGTGTCTGAACTCGACAGAGTCATTTACCTTGTAAACAGCTCCAAATCCACCTT